ATTATTGCTGCTCAATAAATCTTAAAAGGCAGTCGGAACATTCAGGCTTCGCCCTGACACGAGCAGTCTTGTTTATGCTTGCTGGCGACTTCTCCCGCACAACAAAATTGTTCCAAATTGAATTGAAACATTCATGACCTATAATTTTCTCGAGGGGTTGATCAGCTGAAAATGGATGTCATAAAATAATACCAAAAGGGGGTCCTTTGGTTGGTGACGGTCAAATACCTGAGGGAAGGCAGCGTCCGCCCCTGCACTTGATTCAAATGCCGCTTTTTTCCTTTGTAAAAAACAGTTTATAGGAAAATACTTGAAGTTGCCTGGATAATAATCTAGCTAAACTGTTTTTAGTGGCCCTTTGCAACTACTGCATCTGAAAAGTTGGCCCACGCGGGAAAATAATAATTTTTGATTTAAGGGCTGTAGTCACATCCAGCGACCCGTGATCCAATTCATTTTTTCAAAAAAAAAATCTTTGAATTTATGTTTAATATTAAATTATATCCTTTCAATTTTTTTTCAGTACAGTAGGCAATCTCTTCAGGAACATTTATGCCTCCGACGACTATCGAAGCGGCTTTAAATACTGCAAGCTTCAAAAAACAATTCTTAAAATAAGGGAGTTCATTAAAGTGATTTAGAAACAGCAATCATCGAATTTTTTCACAATGCACTCGAAACAAAGTGCATTCAACCAACAATTTCAACGGAGGGTAGGGAAATTAGCTGCTCCGCAGCAATTTGCAGAAATTTTGATGAACTTGAAGCTATTCATGGTTTTCCATTTTTTTTCATCAATTATTAAGTTATAAAGTCATTTTACAAAATTAGTGTCATATGGGGATGTTAGTTTAATGCCGTGCTATTTTTTTTCACGCAGCCATCGCCTCCCCCCCTTCGCCGAACATAACAGACAATGAGCTTGAAGTAGGGCACAAAATCTAAAACCCGATAGCACCGAATAAGGAGGGACTAAAAAAAGTTAAGTTCATAATTTTATACGAAAGCGTATTTAATGAAAAATCGAAACAAAAGACTTTTATACGACTTCTTTTCAGTAGATCTTTGTTTTTCCGTTTACTGAAGGAAACCAGGTCAAACACGCGTCTCTTATTACTCCAAGTTCTACTTTCTAAGACTTGTTTGTGTATTCTAATGTTTCTCTTCAATCATATTCCGAAAGAAATCACTGGAATTTTGCAAAAAAAAGTGCATGCGCATCGCAGCTGTATTGTAGCTGAAAATACTTTTGCATCTTGTGAAACTACAAACTAAACCTTATCAATCCAAATAAAGTTATTTTGCAGGAGCTTGCAAGAACCTTGCTAAATCATTCAAACAAGGATGATTCTCCATGAAGGATCCGGCAAAACTTTGCAAAATTACCCACTTTCAAAATAGCAGTCTAGTAGGGCCTTTTTTGCGGATTTGGCCTTTTTTTCGGATTTTAATAAAACAAATTTTTGTCATTCTGCTTGTTTTTTCAACCATGTTCAGGTTTGAAAAAAATTATTCACGGTATCTGAGTTTTATCAATCAAATGAGAACCTTACAACATGTCGAAAATTCTGGAAGAAATTCAATCGTAAAGATTGATTTTGGCCAATTTGGGACAATTCACGCGCGATATATTTCGCGCTATTAACGCGTACGCGGAGAGTTAATCCGTCTTAGAAATTGTTCCAAATTGGTTAAAAGAAGCTTTTTTGCCATAATTGGTTTGTTACATGGAGCGAAATCTATCCTTTTGTACTTTATATGGCGTGTGGGGGGATATTTTTTATTTAAAAATTTCACATTTAAGAAAAAAAAATTTCTTTTGTTTTATTTCATTGAATTTTTAAATGTTATTACTGCTCCATAAACCTTAAAAGGCAGTCGGAACATTCAGGGCTTCGCCCTGATACGAGCAGTCTTGTTGTTTTTCTGATTAATCAAAATTTTATCTGGAGGGACACGTCAACACCAAATACTGCCGATATTGGGACAGTGGAAACGCCGGAACATTTTTTTCATGAAACAGCGTTTCGCAAAATTAAAATTGGGGTTTGAGTAAAATGGAAATCGCATTAAACAAAAATTTTTACTACAGCAGAAAGCGTTGTATAACAATTTGTTTAATTACATTTATATTATTTAAGTTCCAGTTTTTGTTTTCATCTTTGTTTGTGCAATTCGTTCCGACAATTGAAAATTAATTTGAACGTTGTGTTTGGGTGTGTTTTATAAATAATAATCATCATAATAATCATAATAATCATAATAATCATAATAATAATCATAATTATAATAAAAAAAATCATTATAAAAACAAGACTGCTCGTATCAGGGCGAAGCCCTGAATGTTCCGATTGCCTTATAAGGTTTATTGAGCAGCAGTAATTCATAAAAAAAATTAAATTAAATAAAATATAATGAAAATTTTTTTTCTAAAATTTGAATTTTTTAAATGAAAATCATCCCCCCACACGCCATATAAAGTACAAAAAGATAGACTTCATTCCTTGTAACAAATCAATTATGGCAAATAAGCTTCGTTCAACCAATTTGAGCACAAATATTCCGTTACTTTCGTATCGAAATTCGGAACAATTATAATCATGATAAGATTGAATCAAACCCGAATTTAGTTAAGTGCGATCAAAATATCATAGGAAAGTTACAATTGCTGACAAAATTAGGTTCTAAGAATATTACAAGATAATAAAGGGAGTTTTTATAAGGAAGTTGCATGTTTCTTTTTAAATTTTTGCATGTTTTAAAAAAATTTATAACCAATTTAAATGATCTCCACTGTTGCAGAGTAACATTACGTAAGACCAAAACAGTTCGTTGCGCCACATGAGTTTACTAAAAAACCCACTTACTCTTTAGAGTCAGTTTTCTGCTGAGAATTAGAAATTTTGTCGATAAATAGCTGAATCTCGCTGAAGAAACCTATCCGCAGCTATGATTGTGCCATGATTCGTCAAAATTGATTATTCAATGTCTCCAAACTATTTTCGAACCGCTAACTACGTATCACTAGAAAATTCGTCGAAAAAAAAATCATTTTTTTTCAGGACCTCGAGTTTAAAATGCATACATTACATTACAATCACTGTCTACAAAAGTTTTACACGCTAAGAACTACAAAAACGAAAACTTTCCAGAATTGACTTTTATTTGTTATTACGGTATAGAAATACATTCAAAATATTGTTTTTTGGCGATTTTTTTTTGAGTTTTGGGAACAATTTGGGTGCTATTTTGTTTTTTTTATGTGAAAATAGAGAAATTTTGTGTGATGGTCAGTCAACCTTAACAAAATACAGCCAACAGACTGTTAACTATTTCAGGAAAGCCAAAAAACACTCTCAAATTTTATCAAAAAATTAAATCCTTGTTGAGCTTTCACCGTAAACCTCTCCTTTCTTAAAAATTAAACCGAATTCAATGAAATGCAATCGTAACATTTATAATAAGCTGGAAAATTTGTCTTTTAAATCTTTTTTTAAAAGTAATTTAACCTTTAATTTAAAATCAACCCTAATTTTAAAAAGTCCAATATCAACTTTCAGCTCTACGCTTTTGGAAATTTCTGCTTTCAAATAGCGCAAAATCTTGTTTTTTAGGGAATCCCGCACCGGAGTTCCATGGATAATAATCGATTATATTGAATTTTCGTGGTCTGTCTCAATAAATTTCGATAATAATCGATTATAATCGATTAAAAATGGATTATAATGATACTATTTTTCTAAGCAACATAATCCCAATATAATCGATTATAATCGATTATAATGGATTATAATCGATTATTTTTGAAAGAGAATATAATTTGTTTTTAAAGCAAAATAATCCATTTTTAATCGATTATAATCCATTATAATTGATTATAATGGCAAATTTCTTCTTTCAAATTTTCAGGGAAACTGTTACCAATGTCAGGTGCTTAGTATGGAATAAATTAAATTCAATATATATTTTCCTAATTTTTTTTTCACAATTTTTTTTTTGAAATTTTCGAAAAAAAAGTTTTGAAATTGTGCGACCTCAAATTGACTTTAAAACGCAATTAGACCTAAACATGACAAAATATGACTAATTATTATATTTATATTATTTCAACATGCCCTGGAACGTTTAAATTACCCATTACCCAGACCTGGAACGGTTATATTAAACCCAGAACTTTACCCTGGGACGTTAATCAAAAAATTGTTACTAGAATTTTTTGGTCGGGGCTGGCAGCTATTATGGTAAATGGTGTTCGCAAACAAAGAAGACTTGTTATAATCATAAGATTTGAATTCTACTTTACTGGGGGGATTGAATTATGCATCCTGTAAAACTTTTAAAAAGTCTTTTTTGTTTGTTGAAACCATTTACCATTTTTTCTGCCCATCCCGACCAAGATGTTTTCAGCTGCATACCAAATTGTAGAGCGGAATTTTCTAAATCTAATGGGATATGAAAAAATTTTTGAAACGGAAAATTCCGCTAGATTCCGGAGATTCAAATTATTTTTTTTAAAAATTTTTTTTCACTATGAAATTGCAAAGAATGACATTCCCTCACCCTCCGCCACCCCACCTGCGATCATTTGCTTGGCTCACAATGACCGGTTATGATATGATTAAATGCAGTAGCGGATTTAAGGGGGGGGGGGGTTAAACGGACGCCAAGCAGTACACCCCCCCCCCCCCTCAGGGATTCGACCCCCAGCCGACCCTTTGGCCTCAATTTATACTATGCGCTGTTTATATTTATACGCTGTTTTTGGTCTTTTTTAACGAGCTCAGAAAATCAATTTGGTCAACCTATAAAAAGGTCGAGTCGGAGAGGTCGTGAGCTCAGTGGGTGTCGGGTAAGAGAGGCAGTGACCTCAGTGGCTGTCGGGTAAGAGAGGCAGTGACCTCAGTGGGGCTCGGGTAAGAGAGGCAGTGACCTCAGTGGGCGTCGGTTACGTCATTCTGTATAGTGTTTTTCAAAGTTCAGGTATTTCCAATTTCAGATATTGGTTGAAATTTGATATCCAGAAAAACAAAAAGGAGCCAAACAGTTTCCGAAGAAGTAGTTGAAAGTACATTTGAAAGGTTGAAAGAGTTGAAAGTACATTTGAAGGTGAGTTTGCTAATTTTCAATTAGAATTATGGAAAATTATTTTTGTCTCTAATTTAAATTTTCTTCAGGAAAACAACAATTCGAGTTGGAATTAGATATTAACACGGTCCACGAGGTCCAATAAAATTTTCGTCAATGTAAGTTTCCTTTAAATTTGTCCAGCTTCAAATGTGTCCGGTTTCTGCTTAACTACTCTACCCCCACCCTTTCTTGAAAAAAGGGGCGGGGGGGTGGTGGTTAAGTAGATCCTTTTTGTTCTTAACCTGTCTTATAACAAGCTGATTAGAGGGGTGAAGATTCTTTGGTAGATAACATTGGGGGGGGGGGGGGTATGGGTTGGGTGGAGCAAAATTTTATATTTGAAGTTACTGTTCACTTTGTCCGATAGTCTGCTGTTGCAGATCTGGCAGTGGAAGCGATAGTTTTGATAAATGCATCGAACTGTGGCGACACTAATATACCTTGGTAGAGAGTGTTCCGCATTTGCGTTGAGGGATGAAAAATTACGTCGAATACACTGCAAATAATCTCGCTTCTAGCCCCATTTTTGTTTAATTTTGTTATTTAATGTTTATGATTGGTGTGGCTTCTTTTAACTCTTTCAAATTCCGGGTCTTTCCCATAAAACCCCCCGCCTAGTAACAAAAAAATTATAGCCCCCTAAGCCCGTCATCGATATAAATCAGCTGAATATCATAATTGACATGTTTCAATTGAAACAAATTTCAGTATATATTGTAGTACAAATCAGGGCTCTTTTTCCTTCCCCCCCCCACCTCACTCAATCATGAATTTTATGGTCTAACGATTGGTTTTACAAGGTTAATTATGAAGACCAAATATGTTTCTCATAACCTAGTTAGTCTGCATGTCAAATTTCATGACAAACTAGGTTATGAGAAACATATTTGGTCTTCATAGTTAACCTTGTAAAACCACTCGTTAGACCATAAAATTCATGTTTAAGAGAGGTGGGGGGGGGGGGGGGGGGAGGAGGTTTGGGGAAGGAAAAAGAGCCAAAAATGGGGAGGAGCTTTGTATTCGGGCGTGTTTCATTTTTTTTGCTTTGTTTTCCATGCTAAATCAGGTACCAAAAATAATGATAGGACTGGGTTGAGTGATATTTCATATTAAAGCCGTTTCAGTAATGATTCGAATCACATTTTAAAAATTCCAAAAAAATTGTTAAGTGTTGAGAAAAACCGGCTAGAAATCCATTCTAATAGAACCAATGTTTGATACAATTCATTCATTTCAAGGCACCTACCTCTTTGATTGATACAATCTAACCGAAGTCTCAAAGTTTGGTACAATCCATTCCCTAATAGATAAGCTTTTGAAACTTGGGTCGGTTCATTCATCTATGCGTACACTTTCGAAGTTTGGTACAATCCATTCTAATAGAACCAATGTTTGATACAATTCATTCATTTCAAGGCAGCTACCTCTTTGATTGATACAATCTAACCGAAGTCTCAAAGTTTGGTACAATCCATTCCTTAATAGATAAGCTTTTGAAACTTGGGTCGGTTCATTCATCTATTCGTACACTTTCGAAGTTTGGTACAATCCATTCTGATAGAATCAATGTTTGATACAATTCATTAGTTTCAAGGCACCTACCTCTTTGATTGATACAATCTAACCGAAGTCTCAAAGTTTACCACAATCCATTCTGATAGAACCAATGTTTGATACAATTCATTCATTTCAAGGCACCTACCGTTTTGATTGATACAATCTAACCGAGGTCTCAAAGTTTGGTACAATCCATTCCTGAATAGATATGTTTTTGAAATTTGGGAATGTTCATTTATCTTTACGTACAACTTTGAAGTTTGGTACAATCCATTCTAATAGAACCAATGTTTGATACAATTCATTCATTTCAAGGCACCTACCTCTTTGATTGATACAATCTAACCGAAGTCTCAAAGTTTGGTACAATCCATTCCTTAATAGATAAGCTTTTGAAACTTGGGTCGGTTCATTCATCTATGTGTACACTTTCGAAGCTTGGTACATTCCATTCTAATAGAACTAATGTTTGATACAATTCATTCATTTCAAGGCACCTACCTCTTTGATTAATACAATCTAACCGAAGTCTCAAAGTTTGGTACAATCCATTCCTTAATAGATAAGCTTTTGAAACTTGGGCTGGTTCATTCATCTATGCGTACACTTTCGAAGTTTGGTACAATCCATTCTAATAGAACCAATGTTTGATACAATTCATTCATTTCAAGGCAGCTACCTCTTTGATTGATACAATCTAACCGAAGTCTCCAAGTTTGGTACAATCCATTCCTTAATAGATAAGCTTTTGAAACTTGGGTCGGTTCATTCATCTATACGTACACTTTCGAAGTTTGGTACAATCCATTCTGATAGAACCAATGTTTGATACAATTCATTCATTTCAAGGCACCTACCTCTTTGATTGATACAATCTAACCGAAGTCTCAAAGTTTGGTACAATCCATTCCTGAATAGATGTGTTTTCGGAATTTGGGTATGTTCTTTTATCTTTACGTACAACTTTGAAGTTTGGTACAATCTATTCTAATAGAACCAATGTTTGATACAAATCATCCATTTCAAGGCAGCTGCGTGACTTTAAATACAATCCAATTATTAGACCCAGTTTTTACTACAATCCATACCTTAATAGGTGATTTTTTTTAAATAAAGAGTCAATTCCCATTAAACCACAAATCATTCATTTATAGGTCCTTGTTTAATGTTTGCTACAATCTGCTCAACTAAAGGTATCTTTAGGAAATTTTGCACAATCCATTATCATATATTTTTTTGATTTTGTCTGCAACTCAGGCAAGGCCGGGGAAAGTAAGGAAATGCAGTAGCAAGGGAAGGCCGGAAAGAGCAAGAGAAAGCAAGGCAGGGGAGAACTAGGCGAGGTTTGTTAGGTTGAGGCAAGGCAGAAGGTAAGGCAAGGTAGGTTATGGCAAGACATGAGGGCAAGTCAAGGCAGGGTGGTGTAAGGCAAGGCAGTTGGCGTAAAGCAAGGCAGTTGGTGTAAGGCAAGGCAGGACAGGGCCAGGCAAAGCAATTGAAGTCAAGACACTGAGGGCAGGGACAGGCATGGCAAGGCAAGTCAAGGCGAAGCATTGTAGAGCATGGCAAGGTAGGTGAGCGCAGTGCAAGGCAGGAGGGTGCAAGGGTAAAGCTTGCAGGAGAGGGCGAGGAAAGGCTACGCAAGTGACGGAAGGTAAAACCCAGGAGGGCAAGGCGTTATTTTCAGGTCAGTTGGGGAAAATCAGGTCAGTTGGGGGAAAAACAGGTCAGTTAAGAGAAAATCACGCCAGTTGAGAGAAGACCAGGCCAGGTGAGGGCATGGAAAACTAAGGCAAGCGAGGGGAGGGCAAGGTAAACGAGACAGGTTAAGACAAGGCAGCGGAGGTCAAGCATTAGCTAGGGCGATGCAAGGCATTGCAAGCAAGGTAGGGCAAGGCAAAAGGATAAGGTGAGGCAAAGCATGAGGGCAAAACAGGGTAGTACAAAGTAAGGAAGAGTAAGAGAAGGCACGAAGGAGCAAGGAAAGGCAAGGTAGGGGTAAGCTTGACACGGCAAGGAAAGCAAGGCCTGGGAAAGACTAGCCGAGGCAGGGGAGCGCGAAGCAATGCAGGTGAGGGCAGTGCAGGGAAGGTCAGGAGTAAAGGCATGGTAGCGCGAACTGAAACTGAGATCTTGAGTTAAGTACATCGCATTGACCCGTAAATACAGTTCAATACAAGCTAAACAGTCATCAGTAGTTTGATACGAACAGAAGTGAATTACCAGTACTATTACAAGTAATCTGCCAGTTTATATTTTGCTGCTTTTTAATAGATGTCAAGTACTCGTCACGGAAACCGGGTAGTGAACAACCAAATCAGGGAGCTTGAAATGGCTGTAAAACAGCATCTCCAAAATACTTGGATACTTGTGTATTACTTTGCAGACAGAAGACCTGGGCCGATACATGCCCTTGCTGACCAAATACAGGATCATATTGATATTCGTCAAACCTACCAGGTTTCAATTCATAGAGCTTCGATTTTTGTTCTTTTTTCTCAGGTTTGCTTTCATTTTTTTTTATAGACGGGTAGAACAATCTGTATTCAGTATGGTAAGGATATGTTCTCAGCGAGAATAGACGCGATCGGTCCAAAGCCATACATTGACGAATGTTTGAAGAAAAGTTCCATTATATGCCGCAATGCAGACGATAACGAACATCCTGTGATAGAATTTGATCCGCCAAATGCTGCACCAGCAGTGACCATGTCACCTTTGGCCTTCTCTCAGCCGCCTCCAAATGTGTACACCGTATTACATCCGTCTCCTCAACTGCAAAGATCCTCGAGTGTTCAAGCTTCAGCTGTTGAAATATCTCCGTTCATGCCGACCTTCAGTGATATTCAAACCCAAATGGTAGGACTACCACAAACTCTTTTGGAACCACCGGTAATCATAGTTTTTGGCTCTGATTATGAATAAACCAACTGTTTTCTCCATTTTTTCAAATTTCCTAGGCTTCAAACTTCAATCCCACAAGTCAGTTTGACAGTTTCATTCCTCAGGAGATAAATCAGGCTAGTGAGGACACAAATGCTAGGACTGTCAATCCAGCTTCAAAAAGGAGGAGAAATTTGTTCCATCCGACAGATATAAACGTGGATTCGGATCAAAATCATCAAAGTGGTCACCATTTGACTACTCCAATGCATTTGAATACCAGTTCACCCACAACTGTCACGATTGAACTTTCATCGGTTTTTTTTTGTGTTTTTTTATCCTAAAAACCCTGATTACTTAAAGATCATTTATTATAGGAGTTTAAGGACTTTGTTAACTCGAGTCTGGATCGGTTTGATGGCATTGCTCAAAAGTTTGATAGGGGAACTTCGATGCTCACTGAGGGAGTAGGCGCCATGATCAAGACGCATGTTGATCAAACAGTCCGTATAGAGAAATCCTTGAAATCCCTTGTAAGTTTCATTTCTTTTAAGACAATTGTGGGTTTTCTGTTGTTGCATAGCTTTTGTTATTTTTGCGAGGTGGTAAGAAGCGAGGCAGCGTCTGGGAAACCTGTTGCAACAACCAGTGCAGCTGAAAAAGTTGAATGGCAGGG